AATAAATTGAAATGTTAGCAACATTTAAATTGACAGAAAATGTTTTTTTTATTTAAGTAAAACAATTTAAAAAATAATAAAAATTAATTTATTTTTAATTAAATATGTATATAAATTTAAAAATAATATTCGTTCCTCCTTTCATTTGATAAACAATTTTTCCATATTTCAATCAATTTTTAACATTTCTTAAAATTTCAAAAGCGTATTAAAAATTTCACATATGTATTAAAGAAAAGACGAGCACTAAAAGGGAAGGAAAAGTTGGAATATCTTCTACAAGTTCATTTATACGAAATCAACATCCTTCAGGCAAACCACGGATGTGAGGCTTTTGAAAGAAGATACATAAAAGCTTCAAATAATATTTTTTCTGAGAGATTAACTATAAATATACATTTATGATATCGGGAAAATTTTATTTATATTTAAATATGTTTGATTAAATTGAGGAAAATTTTTATAAATAGGTAAATTGCTGATTTTTAAAAATATTTTTAGAAGGTAAAATATTTAAATTACTAAAGCTAAGCTTTTCTTGCATTATTATCCATTTTTTCAGCTATGCAAATTTGTGCACAAATAAGATACGAACGACAGGTAAAAAGTTTTATCCAAAAGATAATAAAAAACAAAAACTTTAAATAATAATTCTAAAAGAAAAATTTACAAGTGATGAAATATTTTTAAACAAATATGTATGTAAAATGTTAAAAAAGACACAGTAAAAGTTATAATTTTAGATACATAACCGAAATACATAAATGAAAAAATAATAAAGGGACGAGGGGTGTCGAAAATTTCAATAATTGCAATGACAGTAGGCAATCAAATAAATTATGTACATGGGTACTTTTCCATTCTCTTTTTGTCTTATCACAAAATGGAACCAATTCAAAAAAATCTCTTCATCATTGTTAAATCGTCTCATACATTTTGAAGCCAATTTAAAATATAGTCAATAGTTGGGCGGCCATTTGGATTCTCATTTATGCAGGCCTTAAAATAATTATTTTCTTTGAATTTTTAATAGAAATATAATTCCTTATAAATCTATTTATGAAAATATGTAATAACTAGGGTTCAGCGGTATTCAGTACCGACCGGTATCGGGCGGTATTATACCGGTCTCTTTGAATACCGATACCGATTTTACTGATACCGATACCGAATGATAAATCCCGATACCGTTTTTGCTGATACCGATACCGAGGCCGGTATCGGGATTAGCGTCGGATACCGATGAATATCGGTATTTTTTAACCTCCTAAGGATCGATTTTTCATTTGTTTATGGACGAAATTAGCCACATGGCCTTCTAAAATTCTCAAAATTTTCGCCTGCGGCGCCGAAAATTGAAGAAATCTGGCTTCTTAGTCTATAAAAATTTTCAAAATTTTTGCCTGCGGCGCTGAAAAAGTGAATTTTTTTACCTACGGCCTTCTAAAATTCTCAAAAATTTCGCCTGCGGCGCTAATAAAGGAACAACTCTGGCTTATTGACTTTACAAAAATCTTAAAAATTCCGCCTGCGGCGCTGAAATGGGAAAAAGCTAGGCCTTTTGGCCTTAAAATTTTCGGAATTTTTGATTTTGGCGCCTTTGGTGAATTAAATTTTGGCTTAAAAGTAAAATAATGTTCATTAATGAAACACAGGTGTTTTGTTAACGAACGAAGCCTAATGAAAAAAAAGTTTTATGCAGGTCTGGTCCCCATATTGAGGGATATCATTCGATTATCGGGGGTATCCCTAGTACTCCCAAAAGTCGACTGATATCCCACCTAATCCCCAAAGTTGATTTGAGGTATAAAGTTTAATTTGGGGTATACCCGTGGATGAAGATGATATCGGAGGATTAAAGATTTGGAGGTCTTCTATTGGTTCCTGAGATGTTTTTGTCTTGAGAATGGCTTTATAGTGCTAATTTATCATTTTACTACAGATTAATACTTTTTCAAAATGAGGAATAAATTTATTTATCGAAGAATTTATTTTTTTTTTTGCATTAAAATTTTTTTAGGAAATAGCGATACCGATTTTTCAATCCCGATCCCGAGTCGGTATCGGTATCATCAATCCGAAATACCGATACCGGTTTTTTCTCGGAATACCGGTACCGCTGAACCCTAGTAATAATCAATAATTTGTACTAAATAGTACTAATATTAAACAATACTTTAAGCCTGTTAATCGTTTAGTTGTTAAAATAATCATAATTTATTTCAAATATTGAATCATTTTTAACTATTCTATTTACCTTTATAATGTTATCTAAATATGTGCTGTATTTATCGCTTTTACGATATTTGTTTAATGCTTTATCAATATTCATATATTTGAACAATGATGAATATTCCGGCAATTCTTTATGAAGTAGCTCATAACCCATTAAACCAAATGCCCAAATGTCCACTTTTTGAGATATCTAAAAAATATAAAAATATTTTTTTTTCAAAAGAAAATATTCTAACAAATTTTGATAAATTCACTAATTAATCATTATAAATTTATATTATTTGTTAAACTACATACATTGGAATTATCCTTTTTGCGAATTTCTGGGGCCATAAAATCTTTAGTCGTCAAACTAAGATTCGCATTTCCTTCATTTCCTAAAAACACAGAAGTGTTAAAATCTATTAATTTACACTTCAACGGATTAATTTGCATTCCACTTTGATATTCATTTAATGCAATAATAAAATTGTCAGCTTTAATATCCAAATGAATACCATCTACATTTTAAACAAAAGTTTAATTTTGAAAAATTACAAAATTATTACCAGAATCATGGAATTGTTTGATAGCTAAAGCAGCGGCTTGAAGTATATTTTTTACAAAATAATAATAATACTCAGAATTATTTTGGATGGATTGCTTGTTTTCATGAAAATAACTAGCCAAACTTTTTCCACCAAGTTCCATAACAGTGTACATTTTTTCTGTATCTTCATCCTCCTCACTTAAAATAAGAAATTTACTCAAATATGTGGTCTGGGATTTGAAACTAGTCAAGTTTCAAAATTATTAATATCATTTTAAAATTCGATAAAAAAATTCTTTGAAATTATCAAAAAGTTTTAATAATAAAATTAAAAAATACTTGAATAAATAAACCAAAATAAGATAGATTTTTATTTCTTACTTATTGCTATTAATATAAATTAAAACATACTATCCATAAATTTTTATAATACGACTTTGACTTTCATCCCATCCATTAAATTGTTGAAGAATATTAACTTCATTAGTTACGGCATTCCTATCTTGATTACTTCCCATGCTTGAAATTTTAAGAGCGACACAACGATTTCCATCGGGCCAATAAGCATGATATGTCTTTAATTAAAGGAAAATGTTTGATAATTAATCAAAAATAAATATTTCAAGATAATTAATTTGTTGAAATATATGTATTTATTTTTAATATTTATATAGATACACAAATTTTTATTAAAATTATCTAAATTTATTTCTTACTTTGCCAAATCCTCCCTTTCCAATTCTGTGTTTGGTATTAGTGTTTAACACTATAGTTCCAATTTGTGTTGTTGCATTGAGATCAAACTCACGCCTATGACTACATTTGAATGTAGATGATTGTTCATCATCCGAGGATTCCGAGTCTGTATCGTCCGCAACTTGGTGTTTAAAAATTATTTTAAATTTTTTATAGTAGTATATTTTTAATTTTTAATATATAATTTTATTTAAATATATTTTATATATATTTTTAATTGTTATATTTTTTAATTAATATATTTATTTAAATATATTTTTTAAATATAATTTTATTTAAATATATTTAATTTAATTATTTATTAATATAATGTATTTCCTACCCGAAAAATGTAGTAAAAGCAAATTTACTACTAACAAAAATATTAATAAATGGATATCCATTTATAATCTTCTAAATTAAAGTTTAAAAAATATCTAATATTCCAGATTTAAAATAATAATTTAAAAATAATTTAAAATTTAAAAATTTTTAAAAGCTTTATACATAGGGGGGAATTAAAATTTAAAAAATTCAGTTAAAAATTTTAAGTGGAAGCGCATAATGAAGACTGCTGTAAAGAATGCTGTAAATGAATAGTGTAGAGTCGATTAAATAAGAAGAGGTAAGTGGATTAAATAAGAAGAGGTAATATAGGTTTTTAAAATTCAATAAAAAATTTTTTCTATTGTTTAATTTCTTTAGCTAGGTAAGGAATTGAATATTAATAGAGAAGCAGAATAAAATATTATAGCCTATAGAAATAAATTGAAACGTGTAGCAACATTTAAATTGACAAAAAATGTTTTTTTATTTAAAACATTTTAAAAGATAATAAAAATTAATTTATTTTTAATTAAATTTATAAATTTAAAAATAATATTCGTTCCTCCTTTCATTTGTTTAAACACTTTTTCCTTATTCTTGAAATTTCAAAAGCCTCTCCAATCTTATAATGATTAAAGAATTATTTTAAATTTTAAATTCATTTTTTGGTGTAATTAGCATAGTTTTATCAGATATCAATAAGTAAAAATAAACTAAAATATTTATGTTTGCTTAATTGCTTGAGAGCTATTGCAGCGCTTGAAGACGAAAACATAGTGAAATTTTTTTGTACAACAGATTTAATGAAATGTGTGTTCTGGAAGTCAAAACTAGTTTCAAAATTATTATTTTTCTTTAATTATAAAAGATTTTTGGAACTATTGCAAATTCAAACTATGAATTAAATAAATGCCTCCATTAAAGAATTAAAATAGTCTAGTTATCACTACACAACACAGATCAAAGTTTTTTAGGTTAATTAAACTGAAACAAGGAAGAAAAAAAAGAAAATATAGTATCAAAAAAACAGCTCAGACAAATCAGCATTTTATTTATAAAAATTTTCCTCAATTTAATCAAACATAAATATTAATAAAATTTTCTCGAGATCATAAAAATATATTTATAGTTAATTCCATTTTCAAAAATTATTTAGATCTTTCCTTCTTTTTCCTCAAAATCCTCTCATCCATGGTTTGCCTGAAGGATGTTGATTTCTTATGAAAGGATTTGTAGAAAATATTCCAACTTTTCCTTCCCTTTTAGTGCTTGTTTTATCATTAATATTAGCCAAATCAATTATTTCTTTATCATTTAGATTAGGCAAAACAATATTTGGATTGCTTTGTCTCAACATTCTTCTTGTTTTTTGTCTCAATTTCCTCCCCTGTGCATTTCTTAATAATTGCTCTAAAGCCGCCTTTAAATTCGGCACATTATTTATTTTTTGGCCATTCTGATTGTTCTCAACTTTTACAAATAAAGAAGAAAATAGTTGATTTTCTTTGTTATTATTATCAGAATTTGTTTCATTTATTTCTTCCAAAATTTCCTCTTCTTTTAGTTTAGGAATTAATTCATCCATTTTTATCAATTTTGATGCACGGAATGAACGAGGATTTTGCTGAAATTCTGGATAGTTTTCGAATTTTCTATCGTGGTCTGGACTGTGTAATAAACACTGGATGGGAGAGAAGTAGCATGGTCTGAAAAATTTAATTCTTTGAATTAATTGAAATTTCGAAATTTGAAAGAATAATCAAGAATTATAATTATTCTCGTTAACTATGTAGATTATTTAACCAAAACATTAAGGCAATATTAAATATTGATATTTTATGTTTTGAGTAGGGTGCCAAAATTGACCGACTCGGACCGATAGATCAAGTCGGATCTAAGATATTTGGCCAGAAAAAGACTCGTACGGCCCGCTCGATAAAAATGAGGCCCAAAAAATGACTTGACCATTGGCCCGACCTCAACCGTAGTTTTTAGGAATTTTTGGATCCTTTTTTAATATTTTTCACCTTCTAGAAGGGGAAGACGGTCTTCTAATAGAATTTAGTATATTTTCATTATCACTAGAATCAATAAGAGGTGATTCAACTTCTATATTATTAACTTCGTTTTCATCTTCTTCTAAATTATCAACAGATCTTGGCATAATCTATAAATATTAAATTTTATTAAAATAAAAATTATTATTATTTAATTCACTTTGAATAAATTATCTTTAAATTAAATATTATAATAATTAAAATTTTAATTAATTTTTATTTAAAATATTTACTTTCTTTTCTTCCTCCACTTGATTTGAACCTTCATTTCTATTTTTTAACAAAAAATTTGGAAAAAGAAGATTTCTTTTTTGTAAACTTTTCAATTCTTTACATAAACCAAAAGGTTTATTTAAAAATAATAAAAACAAAAATAATATTGAAATAATTAAAAATATATTTTTGTTGAATAATTTCATTTTGTAAAGAAATAAAAAATTATATTTCAAATTTGCCTTTTAAATAAAAAAAGTGTGCCCAAATGTATGAATCTGTTAAAAATTAAAATTTTTATTTAATTAATCTACAAAAAATAATAATAAATGAATAACATTTATAATCTTTAATATTTAAAATAATAAAAGAAAGGAATTTGAAAAAAAACAAAGGAGAATGAGCGGATTTAATTATGGAATTTAATTATGTTTTAATTTTTTTAACAAACATCATTTGTATTAAAAAGAGATTTTTGAATAGAAGGATAAAAGTACAATTTAAATTTAAAGAATGTTTGTTGTACTTTGGAATTTAAGCAAAATTATTGTTATCCTCATAGTTATTAATTAAAGATTGGAATTTTTAAAATATTTTTGTTAGAAATATTTTTAAATAAGTAATAAAAATACTTAGAAAGCTTAGAAATACTGTAGCTTAGAAATCATTAAAATATTATTTTATTTAAATAGTTAAAAATCCTAATTTTTGTAATTTTACATTTCCATCATTTTAAGACGATTTCAACATAGTGAGAATTAGGAATTCTGGCTAGGAAAGAATTTCTGTAGTTTTTATCTAAGCTAAGAAAATGCCAGAGATCAAGCTTTGGAATCTTTTCGTATAATATTTTTTATCTTTTCTTCTACAAAATTAAAATGAAATTTTTCAAAAAATTTTCCTAAAATTAAAAAACATTTTTACATGTAAATAAAATTTTAAAAATAATAGTTTTTAATTTCAAATAAAAATATTTATTTTTAAAATATAAATTGAACAATTAGGAAATCTGGTAAAATTAATGTTTAATTTTCTAAATATAAATATAGAATTGATAAAAAACAAAAAAATATCTAAATATATTTAAATAAAGCAACATTACCTAAAAATAAATTTGAGAAAATTTTGTGAGGCTATTAAAATATATTTTCTCAGGGTTTGATGTATTTGGGTAAAATTTTTGCAGAAGTTAAAGAAAATAATTTTTGTTTTTTTTTATTTTTAATTAAATAAAATGATTTCATTTATTTATTGTGAATTAACAAAAAAAACAGCCAAAAATAAATTAAAATTAATTGAAGAAATAGGCATTTATTTAATTATAACCACCTTCTATTAAATGCCAAACCTACCCATTTGCTTTGCAAAGAATATTTATCCAAAATTTTGTATAATTTTGCAGAATTTAAAGATATAATTTTGCAGAATTTTAAAAATAATTTTCGACAAGAAAAAAGCAGAACTTTTCAACTCGATAGAAATTATTTAAATTATTTTTTGATTTATCTTAATTAAAGTAAAATTTTAAAAAATAATTATTATAAACTACTAATTAAATATTAACTTTTTTTGTTAAATTTAGATATTTAATCAATAAATAATTAATTCATATATTTTAATAAATCTCAAGAGAAAAGTTAGCAAAAATATTATTTTTAAATTTAAATGATTTTACCCAAGGGATTTATAAAAACTTGATTAGTATATAAATAATAATTTAAATAATTAATTGTTAATTTAAATTAAATATTTAAATTAATTATTAATAAAAAAATATAAAAATAAAAATTAAATAAAATATCACAAGATTTTATTATATTTTTGTTTTTAATAAAAAAAAGCTTGAGAAAAGTTGTTTATGAAAGCCCTATTATTGTTTGAAACGGAAAAGTTTAAAATTAATTTTTTGTGAGAAATTTTTAATTTAATTCAAAATTATTTTTTAATTAAAATTTTGAACATTTATTATGTACAATATATTTATTAGGGAATACAGAACTCAAAAAATGTTAAATTATCTATTTTATTCAAAGTTTTTTTCAAAAAAATTTAATAATTCCTTTCTTAAATTTTGTAAATTTATTTTAAAAAATAGAGTAAAGAATTGTTATAAATTAAAAGTAAATTAATTAAATAAAATAAAAGAAAATTGTAAAGTGCCAAAAGAAAAAATAAATTAAATTTTGTTTGTCAATTAACTTTTTAATATTAATTAAATAAAATTAAAGAGAGAACAGATTTTTTAAATTGAAATAAAAGAATTTTATAAAAATTATTTAGTTTTTAAAAAATTAATTAATTTTAAAATTTACAAAAAATATTCAGAGAAATTTAATTTTTGTGAAAAAATTGAATTTTAGAAAAAAAATAAATTTTTATTAAATTAAGAAGAGAATTTGTCTTAAAATTATTTGTTTAATTTATAATTTTTTAGCTAAAATATTTAAAATATATAATTACCAATCTAATATCCCCAAATTAAATCTAAAAATTTTTACAAGTTGTAAAATGCAAAAAATCCGATTTATGAACAACTAAAAGTTAAAAGTAAGATTAACTCTAAAAATTACAAAGATGACATTTTTAGATTTAGTTAAAAACAGAAAAAAATAGTTTAAATGTTTATTTTGCGACAAATTTGGCTCATAAAATTTTTTAATATTTTTAAAGTGAAGGGGGGCTTTCCTAAAATAAACGTCATTAAATATTTCCTCTTTTACTTAAAGTGGGGGAAATAAATGCTTAGAGAGACCAAATCCTGAAAGACACTTCTTACTTTAAAAATAAAAGAAAAAATATAAAAAAAGTCTGTCTACTAAATATTTAAATAAAAATTATTTAAAAAAAACGAGGAAATAAATGAATAATAATTTTGTGTGTGTGGGCGATATAGAAAAGTATAAAAAATAAAAATCTCAATAAGAAAATAATTGGGCATTTTAAAGTAAAAGAACATTTTTTGAAAATTATTATTTTATAAAATTTAGTGAACAATTTACTAATATTAATCAGTCTATTTCGGTTTTGTATAGAACAAATAATTATTTATAAATATGTATTGTGTTTTAATTTATATACATAATTGTAAAGAAAAAAATTTTTTTTGCAATTTAAAAAAGAATTATTCATTTTAAGGTTCCTAGCCAATTATTGTTTGAATTATTTATCGAATCATTTCCCACTAAAAATCCTAATCATTTCCAAAATTATGAATTTATATTCCTGATGCAAAGGCAAATATAGTTGCAAAATGGGTGGGATAAAAATTCATGTCACATAGGAAATATTGTTTGAAATAATATTGGACTTAAATGTGGTCACAACATATGCACATTATTTGCTCAGTATTACCTTCGGGATCGATTCTGTCTTACATATCCCCGATCCTTATTTATTTGGGAAACAATGAATATTATTATTAAAATAAATATACTTTTAAACATTTACATATAAAATATTCTGTTAAGTACTATTTAAATATATAAAATGTTTTTTAAATTAATTATTTTTATTTAATTTAAAACGTAAAAGAAATATGTATATACGTAGCTAAAAAGAAATGTATAAATTAAACCAAAATTGAATTTTATTGGACATTTTCCAAGTATTTTGACAAAAAGAGTAAATTAAATTGGCTACATTTAAACTTTTTTTAAATACTTTTGAGCTAAGACTTAAAATATCAACGTAATAGTACTAATTAATTTTTTAAAAGTATTGCCCGAAATATTTCTTAGAAAAGACTGATATAAAATTATATCATAGATTATTATGTTAGAACGATAAAAATCGAGTCATTCCATAAGGAAAGCCTTAGAACTTGAATATATGGGCTTTGGAAATCTTTGGATATCCGTAATTGACTGAAAAATCTTCGTTTTGTCTCAGAATTGTTGTATAGTAAAATTGCCTGAAATTATTTGAAATTTTTAAATTAAAAAAGGAAGAGGCGGATATGAAAATAGAAAAGTAAATATTACATATTTCTATTTTTGAGTTTTTAATAAATATTTTAAAACTTCCTATACCCTACTTAGAAACTAATATAGAAATAGAGAAATGCTAAAAAAGCAAATAAACGGAAATTAAAATTTAGAATTTGAGACATAAATGTACTATTAAGGATTATTTTTTTATATATCGAATAAATATACCTAAAAAAGGATTCCTAAAATGAATTAAAAATGGAAATAAAATTTCTAGTAGTAAAACGTTTATATTTATTGGGGTATATTGGTATCTCTGACTAATCTAAAGAAGTTATTATTGTTATCCAGATTTGATAGGAATTTTTTCAATTTACGTAAATAAAGAAGTTTTGAATCAGGTAGGCCTTCTCCAAGTCAAAAATTAGTATGGGGTGTTTGAATCTACTATATATCTTTTTAATTTCCCATAGATATCTTTAACACTTTAATTAAAAATTATAAAATATTTAGGAAAAAAACTTTGAACTATTAAATTAGAAAACTTCTAATGTCAGTTCTTCTGAGACAAAACTTTTTTCCATCATTTTATTTCCATAAACTAAATTGTAAGCTAAAAAGCTCTTCCATTTTCTTAAAAAATTTTAATATGTAATAAAAAAGGTAAATCATTCATTCGGAAATTTAACAAAAAATTCTAAGTAAAATTTATATTTAAATAATTGCACTATTTTAATAAAAGTTTTTCTTAATAATTTAGTGTAGGCGTATTTATACATATTAAAAATTCTTTTGTAAATAACTTTTGAAAAATTGAGTTTAATTGCGCGTAAAAACTGAGTAATATAAATAAATAAATAAATTATGTATATTTACCTAAATAAAATATAACTGTATTCTGTTGGAAATATTTTTAATTTAATATTGTTAATCCAGAAAAATTTACGGATTTTAGTTAATAATTAATTAATGGTAGTATATAATGTAAAACTGAGACGCGGGTTCACCGTTAACAGTAAAAGATTTTCAGAGATTCATGTCCACTTTCCACCGCAACCAACATCCCTGTGTCGATGTCCGTAGGGAGGAAAAGGTCCGAGAAGTATTCGATGTCCCGAAAGGTACTTTCCGAACTTTTGTAAAAATTTCAAATTTTTGCCTATCCACAAAGGACAGTGAAATAGAAAATGAGCCGAATAAAAGAATTACATTCATAAAGAGCTAGCCTATACGGATTTTTCAAAAATTTCATAGCGGAAAAATTTCTCCTCATCGCTCAAAATTTTTCCAAGACAAATAATGGGCTATTTTTAT